GTTTTGGGGTTGCCTGTGCTGAAGAGGCTAAACCCAGTGAGGTTTGGATATGTTTTAGGGTTCCCTGTGCTGAGGAGGTTGAACTCAAGTGAGGTTTGGATGTGTGTGTGCAGCTGTGAAGGATTTGGGGTTGCCTGTGCTAAGGAGGTTAAACCCAGTGAGGTTTGGATGGGTTTTGGGGTTGCCTGTGCTAAGGAGGTTGAACCCAATGAGGTTTGGATGTGTGTGTGCAGCTCTGAGCTGCTCCCCTTGCCCAGGATACATCCCCCACCAGGAGATGGCTTTGACCCCATCCCCTGTGCCTCCCCCAGCCCTGCCCTGCTGGTGGGGAGCCCTGTGTTGCCCGTGGTGGTCCTTCCTTGCAGAGTGTGGCTCGGGGGGCTCTGGCTCTGGCGACGGCAGCGAGTGTGAGCAGGATCGGTGCCGGCAGTTCGGGGGCTGGTGGGATGAGGACGCCGAGGACGATCGTTGTGTGTGTGACTTCACCTGCCTGGCAGTGCCACGCAGCCCGGTGAGCACCTCAGCCACCCCAAGGCTGCCTCTGCACGCCTTGCTCCCTTCCTTTCTTCTCCCTGCTGGTCTTCCTGCATGTTTTCCAAGGCAGGAGAGGACATCCCATGGGTAGACAAGTTGGTTTTCTATACCAGGCACTGCACTGAGTGGTTTCTCTCCCTGTTTCTGGCAGGGGTGTGGCTCTGATGGTGTGACCTACACCAATGAGTGTGAGCTGAAGAAGACAAGGTGTGAGAAACGCCAGGACCTCTATGTCACTAGCCAAGGAACCTGCCGTGGTGAGTCCCTTGATGGTAGAATCATAGAATCAACCTGGTTGGAAGAGACCACAAAGATCACTGAGTCCAACCCTACCACCGTTACTAGACCATGGCACTAAGTGCCACATCCAGTCTCAGCTTGAAAACCTCCAGGGATGGTGAGTCCACCCCCTCCCTGGGCAGCCCATTCCAATACCAGCCACCCCCAAGACTGGCACAAGTTGTGTGAGTGCCCACACTGCTGCCCTTTCCCTGTGGATAAGCATGGAAGTGCTTGTTGAGGACACACCAGTGTCCATTTTGGTTTGCTGTTCCCACCCTGTGCTCTCCCTGGCCAAGGGTTGGACCTCATCACCAACATCTCCTCAAGGCCCATGTGGTTTTGCAGGAATGATCTTAGCTGCTTCATCCATACCTTGGCCATACATCCCCCTGTGGTGTCCTGTGTGCCAAAACCAATCCCCATCCCTCTGCTTTCCTCTGCAGCTCTTGCCACAACCCCCCCACCCCTCCTGGTTGTGCACTGCAGCCAGACCATCTATGGATGCTGTCCAGACAACATGACCTTGGCACTTGGAGTGGGAGCAGCTGGATGTCCAAGTGAGTGGAGATGATGTTCACACCTCTTAGGGGGAATGAAGGACTTTCAAGGGGGGCTAGAAGGCAGGAGAGATCAGGCAGAGGGAGGATTTGGGGTCCCATCCCAGGGGAAATAAAGGATACTCTCTCTGTTCATAGAATCATGCAATCATCAAGGTTGGAAAAGCTCTCTGAGATCATCAAGTCCAAGCATTAACCCAATACTGCTGTGTTCACCACCAAATCATGTCCTCAAGTGCCACATCCACATGTGTTTTGAACACTTCCAGGGCTGGTGACTCCCCCACTGTCCTGGTCAGCTGTTCCAATGCCTAACCACCTTTTCCATGAAGAAATTTTCCCTAATATCCATCTAAACCGCCCCTGGCACAATGTGAGGCTATTTCCTCTGGTCCTGCCACTTGTTAGCTGGGAAAAGGGACTGACCTTCACCTTGCTCCAGCCTCCCAGCACGTGTGCTTCACCTTCTGTATCTACTAGTGATGCTCTTGTCTTTCCAAAAGCTCTAAGTCAAATTCCAGGCCTAAATCCCTTTGAAATGCAGGAAGACAGGATGGTGGCTCAGAACTTGGCTGGTGCTGAGGCCCTGCTGGATGTCCCAGACTGTGCCCTTGGTGCCTTCAGCCCATTGCTGGACTCTTAGGGCTTTCAGTGCCCTGAGTGCCAGGAATATTTCACGTGTCCTTGCACTGCAGCCTAGGGTGGATCAGACCTTGCAGGTTCACTTGGGGACCTTCCAGAGGCCACCCCAGGACTAGTGGGTGACTGCACTGTGCAGGCAGCTGAGCTAGCCAATGCTTCATTAATATTTATTAGCTCATTATCAGAGCCAGCAGGAGCACTTTGAAAGGCATTAGCAAACTCTCTACAGCTGAGGTTGTGACTGCCTGGTAGAGGAGACACATCAACCCATGGAGACATGACTTGTGTTGTGCCTGGGCTGGGCTAGTGCCTTCTGGGTGAGGTTGGAGTGCTGGAGGGTTAAAAAGCAGTGCTGAATGTCCAGAGAGGTCCTGGCAGGGCTGTGGAGGTGCTGCAGGCTGAGGTGGGAGCTGGAGGAGCAGATGAGGTGTGTGCTGGCCAGAGGAGATGGTCAGGGTGATGCCAACAAGGACACAAGCACTTCACTTGCAGCATCACTCTGGTAGTGATGATCTTCTGATGAAGATCCTGCCCTTCAATCCATGGGCATAGTGTTCACAGCTGGATTGGGTAAAACCTTGAGCAACCTGCTCTGGTGGGAGGTGTCCCTGCCCAGGGATTAGGTGATCTCTAAGGTCCATTCCAACCCCTTAACAATCCATGAACAATCTATGGCACAGCTGCCTGGGATTCAGTATCCCACCAGTTTCTGTCCCACCTGTGTCTCTATGTTGGCAAGAAGTATAAATCAGGGGGGAATGGCCACTTAACCAGGAGCTGGAAGCTCCTGGGGCAGCTTTATCCACAGCCATGCCATTTCCCTGCCACTGCCACCCTCCCTGCTGCTCCCCAGCTCTCCCTTTCTCTCCCTGTCCCTTTTCCACTGCTCCCTGTGGATGCAGAGAGCGTCTCTCTGTCTCTCTTTGGCTCATTTCCCTCCATCAAGTTCCTAATTAATGAATTAATAATCAACTTCTAATAGCTTCCTTCCCCTTTGATGTTAATGAGAGAGGAGTTCTTGATGACAGCAGGTTAATCCCTGGAGGTTTAGTTCCCCCTCGGAGCAGGAATAGAGGAGAAATGTTGAGAGCAGGTGGTGAAACCAGCAGGAGACCTCCCTCCTGCCTTGGCTGAGAGCTTGGGGGCTCCACACTCCATCCCTCCACCCTGACACAGCCCCTGGGGTGTGTCCACCTCCTTGTAAGTCATCCAGTGGCTGTTAGTCCCATTTTAAGTCACCTCCAGTGGCTGTTTGTGCTGTTGTAAGTCATCCAGTGGCTATTTATCCCATTGTAAATCATCTAGCAGCTGTTGGTCCCATTTTAAGTCATCCAGTGGCTCTTTGTCCCATTATAAGTCACCTCCAGCAGCTGTTGGTCCTGTTGCAAATCACCTCCAGCAACTGTTGGTCCTATTGTAAGTCATCCAGTGACTTTTTGTCCCATTGTAAGTTCTTGGCCTGGACTCACCTCCTTCTCTCTGCTCACAGGCACGTGCCAGTGCAACCCCTATGGATCCTATGGAGGTGCCTGTGACCCTGGCACAGGGCAGTGCTCCTGCAAACCTGGGGTGGGAGGCCTTAAGTGTGACCGGTGTGAGCCAGGATTCTGGAACTTCCGAGGCATCGTCACCGACAGCAAGAGTGGCTGCACCCGTGAGTGTGGGCAAGGCTGGGCACCCCTGGGCTCCACAGAGGGGCTGAAGGAGGCTCAGGGGGAGGTTGGGCTGGTTAAAGCCATAGTCCCAGTGTTGGGCCCATTGTAGGTCACCTCCAGTGGATGTTTGTCCCATTGTAAGTCATCCAGTGGCTTTTTGTACCACTGTAAGTCATTCAGAAGTTGTTTGTCCTATTGTAAGTCATCCACTGGCTGTTGGTGGCATTGTAAGTCATCCACTGGCTGTGGGTAGCATTGTAAGTCAGCTCCAGTGGCTGTTGGTCCCATTCTAAGTCATCCAGCAGCTGTTTGTCCTATTATCAGTCATCCTGTGTTTTTTGTCCCATTGTAAGTCACCTCCAGTGGCTCTTTGTCCCATTGCAAATCAGCCAACAGTTGTTGGGCCTATTTTAAGTCAGCCAGTGGATCTTTGTCCCATTGTAAGTCACATCCCATGGCTGTTTGTCCTATTGTAAGTCATCCAGGAGTTGTTTATCCTGTTTTAAGTCATCCAGTGGCTGGTGGTCCCCTTGTAAGTCATCCAGTGACTTTGTCCTATTGTAAGTCATCCAGTGCTGGTTGTCCCATCATAAGTCACCACCAGGTTGTCCCATTGTAGGATCACAATCTATAGGACCAAAGTCAGAAGGTATTGGGTGGAGGGAGCAGCAGTGATCATGATCTTCCCTGGATCCTTCTCATTCTTGTCTTGGATTTCTGGGGGACCTGAGTGAATGCTGTTGGCTCCACAAATCCACCAGTAAATTTTCCCTTCTTTCCCAGCTTGTAACTGTGACCCAGTGGGCTCAGTGCGTGATGACTGTGAGCAGATGACTGGGCTGTGCTCCTGCAAGACTGGCATCACTGGCATGAAGTGCAACCAGTGCCCCAATGGCAGCCAGCTGGGCACAACTGGCTGTGAGAAAGGTAAGGGTTTGGTCCTGGGAGAACTAACATGCACTGGGAGGAGAGGGATTTTGGGTCCTGTATGATTGGTATGTGCTTTGTTGATCATCTCTTCTCCCCTAGATCCATCAGCCCCCAAATCCTGTGAGGAGATGAGCTGTGAGTTTGGGGCCTCCTGTGTGGAAGTCAATGGCTTTGCCCACTGCGAGTGTCCATCCCCACTCTGCTCAGAGGCCAACATGACCAAGGTTTGGGGGAGAGGCAGCCATGGGGGGCTCAGGGGGTGTGCAGGGACCTGGGGCTGGTTCAGCTGCACTGGGCAGAGTGATCTGATGTCTCTCTGCCCATAAGAAGCAGGTGGGCAGGTCTGGGCACTGCCTTGGTGCGTGGGGAAGGGTGAAGTGCACATTGTAGATGTCCTCCAACCAAGCTGGATGCTCCATGCCCCACCTGGCACCTCTAAGCTTCCCACAGGGGAGTTCTTGATGACAGCAAGTTAATCCCTGAAGGTTTAGTTCCCCCTTGGAGCAGGGATAGAGGAGAAGTGTTGAAAGCAGGTGGTGAAACCTCCTCCTACCCGGCAGGAGATCTCCCTGCTGCCCTGGCTGAGAGCTTGGTGGCTCCATACTCAATCCCTCCACCCTGACACAGCCCCTGGGGTGTGTCCACCTCCTTGGCCAGGCCTCACCTCCCTCTCTTTGCCCACTGGCATGTGCCAGTGCAACCCCTGTGGCTCCTATGGAGGTGCCTGTGACCCTGGTCCCTCTGGTCAGACCATCACTTCTGTGCCTCAGAGGGACCTCTGAAAAATGCTTCCAGTGTTTAGAAAGCAGTGGATCTTGCTTGGAGGAGGACAGAGGTGCAGCTGATGTTTCCCTCTGCCTCCCAGGTGTGTGGCTCTGATGGTGTCACTTATGGGGACCAGTGCCAGCTGAAGACCATCGCCTGCCGCCAGGGCCAGCTCATCACAGTGAAGCATGTGGGGCAGTGCCATGGTGAGTTTCTGCTGGGCCAGAGCCACCTCTGTGACCTGCCACGAGCCCTAGGTCTTGGCTGCTTCCCCCTGCAGCTCCTCACTGTGCCCTGACTTCTCCTGCCACAGCAGATGCTCTGCTCAGGGCAGGTGCCTGAGGGTTTCCAACATGCTTCCTCATGTCATGGGTTTGCAACCTGCTTCCCAGTGGCTCAGCCAGCTCTTCCCAGACCTGGCAAAGGACCTTTTAGTTGATGAAAAACTTCCCATGAGCTGCAGTGTGCACTCACAGCCCAGAAAGCCAACCAAATCCTGGGCTGCAGCCAAAGAAGTGTGGGCAGCAGGTCAAAAGAGGTGATTTTCCCCCCCCCACTCTGTTCTGCTGAGGCTTCATTTGAAATACTGCACACAGTTCTGGTGTCCTCAACATCAGAAGGACATGGAACTGTTGGAGCAAGTCCAGAGGAGGCCACAAAGCTGATAAAAGGACTGGAGCACCTTCCCTATGGAGACAGGCTGAGAGAGTTGGGGCTGTTCAGCCTGGAGAAGAGAAGGTTGTGTGGAGACCTCAGAGCAACCTGCAGGAGCTGAAGGGGCTCCAGGGAAGCTGCAGAGGCACTCTTGGTTAGGAACTGCAGTATTAGGACAAGGAGCAATGGGGATAAATTGAAAGAGGGGAAATTTAGATATTAGGAAGAGGTTTTTTATTGTGAGGGTGGTGAGACACTGGGACAGTTGCCCAGGGAGGCTGTGGCTGCCCCAACCCTGGCAATGTTCATTCCAGGTTGGATGAGCCTTGAGCAACCTGCTCTGGTGGGAGGTGTCCCTGCCCAGGGCAGGGGGTTGGGGCTGGATCATCTTTAAGCTCCATTCCAACTCCTTACCATACTATGACACTGTGAGCTGTCCCTCCTGACCTGCCCTGTTTGCTGCTCCTTTCAGAGTCCATCACTCACACGAGCCATCCCTCTCCACCCACACCTCTGCCCACGCTGCCCACGGACAGGCTCATCCTTCCTCCACCCCTGCACTTCACCACCCGAGCTCCAGAGCCCACTGAGCTGCCTACCAGCTCCCTCCTGCTGGAAGCCAAGTCAACTGAAAGAGTTCACCCCACGACAAGACGTGTCACGACCACCAGACCAGTCACTACACCGTGGATGACCCATGGGGTGTACAAGACCACTGTCCGCCCTCTCTCCACTGCTCCAGTGGTCTTGGCCACCACTCAGCCTGCCTATGGGGAGTCAGGCAGTGCAGAGGGCAGTGGAGACCAGGAGATGGGCATCAGTGGGGACCAGGAATCCAGTGGAGCAGGCTCTGCCGGTGAGTGTGTGCTCTGAGAGCACTGGGTGGGTTGTAGACTCAACCATACCCTGTGTGGCACCATGAGATGAAGCTGTGTCTCAGGCTTGTTCTCTGGCACAGAGGTGAGGTCTTACTGCTGCTGGTGAATGCTCCTCTTGATGCCCTGCAGGGGAAGAGGAGGTGGAGGAAGGTCAGGTAACGTCCACCCCAACCATTGAGAGGGCAACGTGCTACAACACCCCACTGGGATGCTGCTCTGATGGCAAGACTGCAGCTGCTGATGCAGAAGGCAGCAACTGTCCAGGTGAATTTGTCCTGGGGATGGGCTCTGGGGTCGCTTTTGGAGGGGTCAGGACCAAGCAGAAAGTGCAGGAGCTCATGGAGAGCTGCCCAGCAGGGAGGGCAGCACAGTTCCATGTCCAGTTGAGGGCTGGTGTGTCCCTGAGAGGATGTTCTTGGGGATGTGCTGAGCCATGGTGGCTTTGCAGACGTGGTGCCCACCTTACCCAGCCCCCAGCAGCCACCCTTGGTGCTCAGGTAGTGCCCATCTGCCCCAGCCCCTAGCCCTGCTGCTCAGGTGGGCACTGCTGCTCACGTGAGGAGCCCAGAGCACTGCTGTTTTCTTCCCTCAGGTGACCACTTTCTTCCTTGACTGCTTCAGAATTTGGTCAGTGTTTTGCCCACCTCACCACTGGCACTAGGGAGATGAGGGAATTCCTTGGATTCCCTATTTTGGTCACTGGAACCAGGTCCAGTTTGGTGCTGGGGCAGGTAGGGAGAGCAGCTGGAACTGAGCTTCTGCCCCTCACTGTGGTTCCTGAGGGTGTGTTCTGCTCTCCTGACCCAGGTGGGATCTCCCTTGCCTACTGACAGACCTTTTCCACATGCTCTGCTCTGGCAGAGTGTGAGTTGCCCTGTGCATCCATCTCATTACCCTAAACTCTGTTGCTCTGGGGCCACGTCCCAGATATTTCCTCACTGAGGTCCTGTGGAGTGTCCTTGTGGTTTCCAGCAGGTTTCCTTTTCCTCTGGGCACCACATTTCTCTTTTAACCCATGACAAGACGTCTGGGAACCTCCTGTGTGGTTACCCACAGCAGGATCCCTCTATCCTCTGCATCCCAGAGGAAGAAACCCACACCCAGAGTTCCTGTTGTGGTTTGGCTCTGCTTTGGCAGGGTCTGTCCTTCCCTCTCCCTGCACAGATCTTCTCCTTGTCCAGAGCTCCTGTTTCTGCCTCCTGTGGCCTGTGCATGCCCTTGTATGATCCTGGAATGTTGTGTGTCCTGCTAACCTGTCTCTCTTGTCACTCAGCTGGTGCAGGGGGGAGGCTCTTCGGGCCGGAGCTCAGAGGAATCCGTCTGGTAAAACCTGCCATCTCCAGCCTGGTCTTCCATCTGCTCCAGCCCCTTCTGATACTAATCCTCATGGCACTTCCAGACCCATCCAGACTAACTCCAGCACTGGCACTACCCACACACTACCATCCCCTTCCCCCAGGGACTCGGATGCTCTCAGCCACACACCTCTCCCTGCCCACAGGCCAACTAAAGGTGTTTGTCTTCTCTCCCCTTCCTCCTGTAGCTACCAAAGTCTTCCAAGGAGTCCTCATCTTGGAGGAGGTGGAGGGCCAGGAGCTGTTCTACACACCTGAGATGGCTGACCCCAAGTCAGAGCTCTTTGGAGAGACAGCCAGGAGCATTGAGAGTGCGGTGAGTTCTCTGTGCTTCATCTGGGAGATGGTTGGGGATCTTCTGGCCTTGGCAGAAGAAGAAGAGACCCTGTGACACCGGAGTCATTGAGTCACAAAGCCATCAGGGTTGGAAAAGCCCTCTGAGACCACTGAGTCCATGTCCCCAGGTGCCACATCCACATGTTTATTGAACAGTTCCAGTGATGGTGATTCCACCACCTCCCTGGACAACCTGTTCCAATCCTGACCACCCTTTCCATGAAGAAATATTCCCTAATATCCAATCTAAACCTTCCCTGGCACAACCTGAGGCCATTTCCTCATCCAGTCACTTGTCACCTGGGAGAAGAGACCAACTCCCACCTCACTACAACCTCCCTCTGTTAGCACTGGGTCAAAAATGAACCCCATGGTGATGGAACTGGTGGTGGGACTGTTCAGACAAGAGGTTCTTCCTTAACCCCTTGATTTCCCCAAGTATCCTTATTTCCAGGCAAAGCCCTGAGCCAAAAATACATCCAAAACTCCTTTACTCTCCAGTCCAGCTACACAACCTCTTGTGTAAATCCATCTTCCACCTCTAAGGAGAACCCCCTGCATTACCAGCTGTAGGAGCAGGTGGATTTTGGGTGGCAATCCCAGCCCTGCCTGAGGTCACAACATCATCCTGGAGCCTGCAGTGTGGTCCAGCAAACACAAAGCATCTTTGCAAGGGCATTGGCATATTTAGAGCTGGTTCCAAGCTGCATGTAGAAGCTGCCAAGCCCTCAGAACACTCATCCAAGCAGATGTGAGCCTGGCACATGGACCATATGCCTCCTGCACTGCTCTAGCACAATAGCAGTGTTTCCCAGTGCAGGCTGAGGCAGCAAACATGTTCACAAAAGCTTAATTCACTGCTTCCATCCACTAAGGGACTTGACTGGTTTGTGTTTTCCCAGGCTGAGGGACATGAAACCATGGCACAAAAGTCATCTGTGGGCAGAGCTGAGAGCTCCTGTGCTGCACAGATGTGTTTTCCCTCTGCAAATGCTCATGGATGTGATGTGCTCCTTGACCCCTGTGATCACTATTCCTAATTTAAAGGGGGATACTATCCCATGGGGACATTAATCAGTTAATTACTGCCTTTGCCTTGAAGCCAAGGAAGGGATTTGGTGGCATCTGTGGCATGCTGAGAGCTCCTGTGCTGCATAGTTGTGTTGTCCCTCTGCAACTACCTGTAAATGCTCATGGATGAGATGTGCTCCTTGACCCCTGTGATCACTATTCCTAATTTAAAGAGGGAGACTGTCCCATGAGGCCATTAATCAGTTAATTACTGCCTTAGCCTTGAAGCCAGGGGAGGGAATTGGTGGCCACAAGGCTGACCAGACAGCTGGCAGGGCTGGCAGAGCCCTGACTTGTCACTGTCATTGTCTCCTTCGTGTGACTTCAGCCAAATCCTACAGTATCCAAGTCTTTCAAGGCAGGCAGGTACTTAAAGATGCAGACTAGTGTCTTTTGGGATTTTCCCAAGTGCCTAAGCAGGTTTACACAGCTTTAGAAGAGATCAAGGGAGACTTAGATGTCACACAATGGAAAATCCCTGGATAGACTGCAAGGTGTCTGTGCTCTGGTTCTTCTCTGCTTCTCCTCATAGGTACCATGGGGATAGAGCACTGTCCCAGATTCTTCCATGGGTGTGTTTCAGCGTTATTATTGGGCACTGGAACAGCTCTCCAGGGCAGTGGTCACAGCCCCAAACCTGCCAGAGCTCAATAAGCATTTGGACAACACCCTCAGGCACATGGTGTGATCCTTGGGGTTGTCCTGTGCAGGGCTTGGAGTTGGACTCGATGATCCTTGGGAGTCCTAACTCAGGATATTTGTAGAATCATAGAATTTTAGGGGTTGGAATGGAGCTCAGAGATGATCCAGTGCCAACCCCCTGCCCTGGGCAGGGACACCTCCCACCAGAGCAGGTTGCTCAAGGTTTTATCCAACTTGGCTTTGGACCCTGCCAGGGTTGGGGCAGCCACAGCCTCTCTGGGCAACCTGTGCCAGGGTCTCACCATATTCAGTGATTCTGGAGCCTGTTCTTCCCTTTGCCTGCAGGCCATAACGAACAGGGAGCACTTGGAATTGTCCCTCTACCTAGCAGAGCCCTGTCCTCTCTACCAGTGGGATCTTGCAAAGGATTGGATGCAAATCCCTATGGGTTGAAACCAAGGAGCCTGACTGAGACTCAAGATCCTTCCCTGCAAGGATCCATCTCCCAGGATCTTCACATTAACCAGGTTGTTCTCTGTTCTCCTTCACCACCAGCTGGATGAGCTTTTCCGCACTTCTGATGTGAAGAAGGACTTCAAGAGCATCCGAGTGCGAGACCTGGGGCAGAGCAGTGCTGTCCGTGTCATCGTGGAGTCCCACTTTGACCCAGGTAGGAGCATTCCCTGTGGCATCCCCATCTCCCTGGGGAGGGAACAGGCATTCCCAGTGGGATTCCAGGCTGGAGAAACATATATGTGGTGAGGAGATGGAAAGAACCTTCTTCAAATTTGCTGGGGTTGCTCTGTCCAGCAAATCATGATGTGAGAAGAGCTGGGAGGAGGTTCACCTTAAGCTGGTGCCTGGAAGGATATTCCTCAGGGAAAGGAGGGGTTTGGATGCATTGTGGAGAGGTCATTGTGGGGAAACTACTAGGTGGGCTTGCATCTTCACTCTTGCCTTTCTCCTTTCTCCTCCAGCCACATCCTACACAGCAGCTGATATCCAAGAGGCTCTGCTGAAGCAAATCAAAGCTTCCAAGAAGAAGACCATCCTGGTGAAGAAGCCCCAGCAGGAGCATGTCAAATTCATGGACTTTGGTGAGTCCCCTCTGTCTGTGGTCAGTCCCTCTCTCTTGGTTTAGGCTTACAGATGGACAGATTGGCTCTTCTGCTCTTGCCAAGACTTTTCATCTGTAGCAATAAGCCATCAAATGCTTCCCCAGGCAGTGTCAGGGTGTAGAGGTTAGTACAGAATCATGGAGGCATGGAATGGTTTGGGTTGGAAGGACCTTAAAG